CCTCCCTGAGCCCAGCCCTCAGGGACGCCCCAGGAAGCAGGGAGCAGGGCTGGCCAAGCCGAGGGCCTCCCCACTCTGCCCGTGGACTGTGACCCTTCCCTCTTGGTGGAAAAGCATTCTGTGGGCATTCTGGGTCTCAGGGCTGGCGTGGAGGGGGGTTGGTGGGGGGACAAGGACAAAGAGAGAAGAGCTGTAAAGAAAGAAAAGCAACAAGGAAAAGGGAAAATGAGAGAAAGGAAATGGAGAGAAGGTTGTTCGCGCACCTGCTCAGTGACAGCTTATGACAGTGCTGACAGGCGCCGAGTTTGTGTCGTCTCCTGGGAAATCTCTGTCACAGCCTGGGAGGCGGGCCCATTGTACAGAGGGGGAAGCTGAGGTCCAGCTGGAGGTTACACAGCTTAAGGGCAGGGGGGCTGGGGTGGAACTCATTTTGCTCAACTCTTGGGTATTTTTTCATCCCTCGAGAAAGAGGGAAAAAATCCCGTTAGAACTGGTGGACAGCGAAGGGGCTAAGACCGTGGAGGCCAAAGACCTGGCTCTGCCGGGAGCAAGATGTGAGATTGTTGTGTAGACAGAGGGTAACTGCTGGGACCCCATCCCTGCCTTTCCCTGCAGTTCCCCTGGGAACTTTCCATCCGTGTGTGTTACGTGCGTCATTGACTGAGAGGCTGTGACTGTCACCCTAAAAAACTCGAAAAAGAAAAAAGAAAACCCAGCTTTGAGTCGATTCCAGTGGCAGGGTCACACCAGGACCCCTTTATCTTCCTGAGCCGGTGCCAGCTCACCTGTGGCCAGTGTCCCTTCACATGGGCCGTTGTGGGGGAGCATTTGCTATTTGCAGGCTCACAGGGCCTCGCCACTCCGGGGAAACGTGTCTTGTGGGGGCTCAGCTCACACTGTGGCACAAAAGCCAGATTGGAGCCCCCCCGCTGCCTGTCACAGCAGATGGTCATGGGAACCCCAATCTCATAGCAGGGAGGAACAAGGCGATCAGAGATGGCTGGTTCTGACTCCAGGCGCAGACTCCAGAAATGACCCCCTGCAAGCTGCTCGAGCCCCCAGGGAAGCCCCACCAGCCCCTTGGACAGGGGAATTGAGAAGGAGGGGACGCTTGAGCCAGCCCTCAGGGTGGGAAGGTGGGAGAAGCGGGGAGGAGCAATGCAAGCGTCCGGGAGGTCAGGAGGCCTGGATGGGCGGGG